AGTCTAACGGAGAGCGAGAACGATTTTGAAAGTAAGAATTTTTGGGGTGAAAAGACAACGATGTAATATTAACGTATATTAACAAACTCATTACTGCTAAAGAAAATATTTTATTAGTCTCATTATGGCAGCCTACTCTAAAAGTTGTAATAAATATTTACCAAGTCACTTAAATAAACTCTGAAACAATAAAGCTAGTAACAGAAACATAAATTAAATGTATGTTATTTAAATTATAAATGCCATTACAAATAAGGAATAATAATTTAGAGCACCTGACAAATAAAAACATTTAATTTATGATTTAATAAACAAACAATTCTTTCAAAAAATAAATCTCGTATTTTATTTTCTCTTCTCCAATTTTCGTTTGCAAACACATAATTCAATGCGAAACTATGTGCGATATTTCCGCTTGAACCAATTAACACAAATCGTTTTTTCATGTGGCCCAAAGCAAATAGTAAACAAATGCAATGAAACGAAATTAAATAAAAACCGTTTTCGATTTCATAATCCAAAATTTGTTGGCAGTTGTTGATGTTGCGAATGGGCCAACACAAAAGTGGGTTAATTCGCACGAGCAGAAAGAGATAGCCAATGGGCAGGTAAAAGAGATGGGAACAGATGTGAATAGCTCCCCAGAGGATTATTTATTGTAGGGGAGTATGTCTTGTGTACTCTATATTTCCTATTACGATAGCCATGAGCAAATATTTAATCGCTCTAATGATGCCTATTGTATGTCCTTATGTATTTGTTATTAATTTTCAACTTGTATTCTCTTATCTTTGCAGGTAATAAACAAAGTCTTCTATCAACTTCAAGTCAAACAGTCATGGCAAGTTAATGGCCCACAAAAGGACTGACACCAAAACGAATCTCATATCAGGCAACGCCCATCGTTTAGCTGCTTGTTTAATTATAGTCAAAGAAGCCGAAAAAAAATTACTGCAGTGCATTTTATTATTTTTGGGGCGTTTAACTACAAAAAACAAAAAAATGGGGAGTATCTAGGAATGAACAGCAATTAGAGCTATTTTATATATAATATTTTTAGTAATCTGAATAGAAAATAATGATAAATTAATTGTACAAAAACAGTTAATAGAAACGATTGTAATTAATAATATAATATAACATTTTCAATTTATTTTTTTTATGATGACCTGAACATTTCTATGTTTTAAGGGTATCCATAAACTCTACCTACCAAACTCGTTGCCTCAAATAGAGTTATTTGGTATATTTTTACGATTCTCTGGACAACCCCCGCAGAGTTGAGTGCTCCACTTTGGGCGACGAGTTCTTGTTCCAGGTGGCTATACACCAGCGCCACAACCATCGAAATTAGCCATGATATGCGCTGGTTTTTAGGTGTGTGGAGGAGTTTTTTTCTTTCGTTTTCATGTGGGCGCACCTTCGATGGGGGAAGAATGTAAGCGTTGCACTTAGAAAAATTACACAGTGGTCTGAGGCTCCCCCAGGTGTCTCCCCAAGAACTCCCACAACAAGGAGCAGCACTAACCACCGAAAAAAAAGCAAAAATAAAAAAATTGAACATAAGCCCAACTGTCTTCGGTTGAACATGCAACTCCATAAATACCAAAGAACGCACATAAAACACGTCGCTTAGTTCGTTTCGCTGGGTATTTAGACCAGACTGTGTTGGCCAGACATAGGCTGCCCTGAACCCCCCCAAAGACTCTCCCCCCCTCAAAAAAAAACTCCACCCCCTTTGACACACCCATACGTTGTTGTCGTTGTTGTTGGTCACTGGGTTCCGTCTGGGGAGCCACGTGCTCTAAAATAGCCCGAGCTTGAGGCTGACTTGACTGTATGGTATATCTACAGTCCAGCATTGATAGCTATATACCCTAAAAAAAATAATAGAATAATATTTCCTTATAAAATTTTCCAGATATATATTTTTTTTTTTTACAAATTTTTCCCAAAACACTTTTATTTGTATCAGCTATAGATCTTCCACATGATTTTATTCTAATAAAAATAACGAATTTCCAATTAAATATATATATTAATAACCCCAAAATTTAAAACAAAGGACTTAAAATACTTTAAGACTCAAGCTCTTCTCTAGCTGTGAAGAATTCTTCTTTAAAATAGATAAGATAAAACTCACCTCAATAAAATTTCAGTACTCGAAGTTGTACTGTAATCGTTTGCTTTTATAGCTGCTGTAGCTGTAGGTATTGTTATTGCTGCTGTTACTATTGCTGCGGTAGTTGTTTTCTGTTGTTTTTATTCATGTCTGACTGCAGTCGGAAATGGCATTTGACTGTTTGACTGCGTTTTATGCTCTCGGTGCGACTTAAATTATTCCACATTCGATGGCTGTTACTTTTGTTGCTTTGTTACATTGCATTTTGGTACGTGGTTTTTTTGTTTATTTACTTCGTCGATTGAACGATCCCCCAAAGTAAAGGGAAAAACTTGTTTTCTCTTGAATTTCAATTTTGCCGGCATCGATTGTTTATTACCTGGCCCCAGACAGCTTGGTAATTTCTGCTAGGTTTTTTGTTTGTTCCTTAAATTGACTCAGGTTCTTGCTTGATTTATTTACTATGATTTTTGGGGGCAACAATGCGAACAATTTGCTTAGGAATTTCTTGACTGAATCGCTCTAATTGCAAAAGCTTGTCTATATTTTTTTCCGATTGCGATGTTTACCGGCTTTATTTGTTTTTTATTGTTACGCTCATTAATGGTTTCCAGTTCTTTAAGAATTACAACTTTTTGTCCCCCCTTAAAATCAACTGACGTTTTGATTGAATTAAAAAAATAAATAAATATTAAACAAGAAAGAAAGCAAACTTCGGCAAGCCGAAGTTCATATACCCTTGCAGCTATCGCAAGAATTAAATATTTTTGAAAACATTAAAATTATGATTTACTTGCGTATATGTTTAAAAACATTGAAGCTATGAAGATTTGCAGCTTAATTATTTGATTGTTCTTTTATATATTTTCATTATTTGTATAGGAGCTATATGATATAGTCGTCCGATTTTGATGAAATTTAAACCATAATTCTGAAATATTTAACCATTGCTATATGTCGAAGAACTAAAAAACAAATTAAAAAACACCAAAGTTATAATTTTTTTCAATTATTTTTCCGATTGTTCCTATGGGAGCTATATGCTATAGTCGTCCGATTTTGATGAAATTTTAATCATAATTCTGAAATATTTAACCATTGCTATATGTCGAAGAACTAAACAAAAAATTAAAAAGCAGCAAAGTTATAATTTTTTTTCAATTATTTTTCCGATTGTTCCTATGGGAGCTATATGCTATAGTCGTCCGATTTTGATGAAATTTTAACCATAACTCTGAAATATTTAACCATTGCTTTATGTCGAAGAACAAAACAAAAAATTAAAAAACAGCAAAGTTATAATTTTTTTTCAATTATTTTTCCGATTGTTCCTATGGGAGCTATATGCTATAGTCGACCGATTTTAATGAAATTTAAACCGTAAATCGGAAATATTTAACCATTATTATATGTCGAAGAACTAAACAAAAAATTAAACAAGAAAGAAAGCAAACTTCGGCAAGCCGAAGTTCATATACCCTTGCAGCTATTGCAAGAATTAAACATTTTTGAAAACATTAAAATTATGATTTACTTTCGTATATGTTTAAAAACATTGAAGCTATGATGATTTGCAGCTCAATTATTTGATAGTTATTTTATATATTTTTATTATTTCTAAGGGAGCTATATGATATAGACGTCCGATTTTGATAAAATTTAAACCATAATTCTGAAATATTTAACCATTGCTATATGTCGAAAAACTAAACAAAAAATTAAAAAACAGAAAAGTTATAATTTTTTTCATTTATTTTTCCGATTGTTCCTATGAGAGCTATATGATATAGTCGTCCGACTTTGATGAAATTTAAACCGTAAATCGGAAATATTTAACCATTACTAAATGTCGAAGAACTAAACAAAAAAATAAAACACAGAAAAGTTATAATTTTTTTTCATTTATTTTTCCGATTGTTCCTATGGGAGCTATATGATATAGTCGTCCGACTTTGATGAAATTTAAACCGTAAATCGGAAATATGTAACCATTACTAAATGTCGAAGAACTAAACAAAAAATTGAAAAACAGCAAAGTTATAATTTTTTTCATTTATTTTTCCGATTGTTCCTATGGGAGCTATATGCTATAGTCGTCCGATTTTGATGAAATTTAAACCGTAAATCGGAAATATTTAACCATTACTAAATATCGAAGAACTAAACAAAAAATTAAAAAACAGCAAAGTTATAATTTTTTTCATTTATTTTTCCGATTGTTCCTATGGGAGCTATATGCTATAGTCGTCCGATCCGGCTCGTTCCGACTTATATACTACCTGCAATAGAAAGACAACTTTTGGGAAAGTTTCATGCAGATAGCTTTAAAACTGAGAGACTAGTTTGCATATAAACGGACGGACAGACGGACAGACGGACAGACGGACAGACGGACGGACAGACGGACGGACAGACGGACAGACGGACATGGCTAGATCGACTCGCCTAGTGATGCTGATCAAGAATATATATACTTTATAGGGTTGGAGATGTCTCCTTCACTGCGTTGCAAACTTCTGACTGAAATTATAATACCCTCTGCAAGGGTATAAAAACAGCAAAGTTATAATTTTTTTTCATTTATTTTTCCGATTGTTCCTATGGGAGCTATATGCTATAGTCGTCCGATCCGGCTCGTTCCGACTTATATACTACCTGCAATAGAAAGACAACTTTTGGAAAAGTTTCATGCAGATAGCTTTAAAACTGAGAGACTAGTTTGCATATAAACGGACGGACAGACGGACAGACGGACGGACAGACGGACAGACGGACGGACAGACGGACATGGCTAGATCGACTCTACTAGTGATGCTGATCAAGAATATATATACTTTATAGGGTCGGAAACGTCTCCTTCACTGCGTTGCAAACTTCTGACTGAAATTATAATACCCTCTGCAAGGGTATAAATATAGTATTAACGTAAGATAAACTTTCAATTGTATATTTATATTTTTTACTTTATTTAAACTCAAAACTGTGGCAAAATACTAACGTCACTTTGATAAAGTTTGTTCATTCTTTTTTATATATTCAACGCCACACTTTGTAAATTGCTTTGACAATTCATTTCTGTGACTTTCCAAACTGTCCAGACAATTCCTTGAGGGAATTTGCACATCATTTTCAAACCAAAATACCTTCTCTTCTCTGTATTTTCAAGAAACAAGAAAGCAACATTTTGGTTTATATTTAAACTTTGAACTCTCATTCCTATAGTTTTTTTGATATGAGAATTTGCCGAATATAATGTCGACGCTGTCTGCTGAACAAATGTTGCAGTTGAACAAAAAAAAAAAAAACAGTCAAAAAGTTGAAAAAGAAATACTATACAAGAAATATTTTTGCCAACATCTGTTCCGATGAACTAAAGCTGGAGCGTGAGAAGCGGCACACGTAGCTGGAAAAAATTTGATATACTTAGCAAAGCTCGGAAAAAGCAAAAAAAAAAAAGGAAAACAAAAAGAAAAAAGAGGGGGTAGCACAAACTTTTCTTACGTATGATTTCGCTCTTGAGGTGCTTCTTTGTTCCAGACAATCTCCATTTCTCAGTGAGTTCTGTTTGGTTTGACTAATGCCAACTCAATTTAGCCCAAGCCACTGTCAGCTGTAGTTAGTTGTCGCTTTTCTCCTCAATTTTCCCTGCTTTTCCCGCTGCGGTTGGAAACAGCCTGCTAATGTTGACAACGTCCCCGCAAGTTGGTTTCCCTCGCTTTCCTTTCTTGCCCTCCCAAAGTTTTCCAGAAAGGCGAAAGAGAGGGTCTTCCACACTCGGATTAACATTTAGATAATTTTCAAAATAAATATTTTATTTAAATAACATTACTTGTTAAGTATTATGTATTAAGTATGAAATGAAGTATTCAAATAATACCTAATTGCTTAAAATAATGATTAAAATTTGGATCTCTAATATGTTTATTTAGTTTCTTAAAAAAATATCTATCGCATTTTTTTTTTCTCTGTGCACCCTTGGGTAACCTTCTGTCTTTGTTGTCTGCATATTTTCGGTTGGCCAAAATCATCAGCGTGGCTGCTTCCTGCCAAACTTGCCAAGGTAAACAATGTAAGAAGCGATGGTGGAAAAGTTATAGGGATGTGAGAAAGTGGGATTGGTAGGGAATGTGAAGGAATACCTCTAAAATTGTTTACTTTTTGTGCGTGGCAGTTGTTGTGGTTCCTTTCTGTGGTCTTAATTTATTCGGGATTGCTTGTAGACATTGTTACACACCCATAAAACTGGCATAACAATTTGAGAACTATTTATTTGTATACATTTTATTTGAACGCTTTTGAAATGTTTAATTATAAACCAGACTTTTGCTAACTTTTAAATTTTTCAAAAAAAAAAAACTTAGAACTTAAGCATTTGATGATAGTAACAATACAAATTCTTCTAATAATATCATGTCTTTTTTATGGGCGCTTATAAATTTAAACAGACTACATTTTTAATATAACAAAATAATTTATATTTTCTTGGGACAAACCCCATTGCATTTTAATGATAACTCACTCTTTTGTTGACCCGTTTCACATCATTGCGTGGCAAAACAAAGGAAGTCCTTTATGGCTCGACAAAATTCATTTTGGCCAAGAGCTTTTTTTTATGCCACACACAAAGAGCCAAGGAAATGCAGTTGTGTGCACCTTTCTTCTGATTCTCTTGAGCTCTTCAAGGTGTTTGCCCTTGCCCCTTGAGTTTCATTGAGGTGTGTGTGGATTGCTTCCTTTATGCTTCCACAAAGAGACAGAGACGGGGATAGGTCAGTAGAAAGAGATGGCGAAAAGAGACCTCTCAGCCAACTTAATGACTCACTTGAGCGACTTTTTGTAGTGTCATTACTTCGTTTCCTGGAAGCGCGAGGTTTGCTTTCTTTACCGTTCTGTTCATCGAATTGTCAAAAAATAATACAATAATTCTGTGAGCAAATTGTCTAAGTTTTTTTTTCGCTGTGGTTTTCACTCACCTATGCAAATTGGAATGTCATGAAGTCAAAACTTGTGTTCTACGTAACCCGTTTCCGCCATTTTTTTTGTTTTTTTTTTTTTTGGTGTCGCTTGCAAATTAAAGTCAAACAGGGCCGAAAAACTGGGTTAACTTCGGCATAACTTTCCAGCGACAATTGCACAATTGCTGGGCTAAAATTGATGTTTAACTTGCTCTGTGACATTTAATTAGTGTTGGGGAAAGCTTACCCAATTGTTGACCCGAAAATGAAAACCCATGAATATCCCCCAAAGACAATGACCTTCAGTGTGTTGAATGGCCTTTCATGGTTCAGAAATCACTTCAACTTGAACGGTTTTGTAAGTCAAACAAAAGTTCAGTGGCCAAACGTTTAATTGATATTTATGTATGCTTTTAAGTGGATTTGTTGCTTTTTTTTATTTATTTTTTTGTCGGTTTCACGAGGCCCACACAGCAAGACACATCCATCAAGTTGAGGAGATTACGCGACAAGGCCTGAAGAATCTTGATCTTGACTTATTTCCCATTTCGGTTCTCCGAGCTGAAAATTTAAGTTAAGTTGAGTCATTTTGCGGTTGGCTTGACAATGCTAATGAAGTGGCCCATTCGGCGTTTTGGTGCATTAACAATTGTTACGCCTGGAAATTACTTTTCTATTTTTCTTGACATAGACGACTTAATGAGCTGATAGGCGTCTACAAACACGCCCCCTGTTGGCGCGAACCGGCAGCCTTGTTTTATATCGATAAGAGTTCGCCGTCAGTGGGTGTTTGATATTCGTAATTGTTGGCCAGTTACTGATGGATTTGCATAATTAGGTTAGGCGCGAAAATAGATTTATACTGTGAAAATACCCTAGGGCATCTGTAAATGATTTTAAATCTTTTAAATTGACAAAGCTTTTTAGATAGGCATGTTGTTAAAAGTTCCAATTTTATTTTAAAATACTTTTAGTTTTTTTTATGCATGCCGATTTAATTTTAAAAATACTTTCAAGGCTGCAAAGATATAAAAGAAGCCAACCACACAGTTAAAGTGCATACTTAATTTAACTGATATATTTAAGTACTTTGCCAACTCTAGTCTTTTCTTTATATGGCTGGGAAATCTTTGCATTCAAAGTTAAATGAGTTGGCTTTAATGCGATTTACTCTCGCTGGACGCTAGTTAAATATCTGGCTGCCCAATCTGCCCCGCAAATACCCTCTAACCAAGTTTGTCAAGTGTCAAGAAATGGCCAGCCATCTGAGATTTGCCACCGGCGACAGCTAACAACTAACAACGAACAGCTGAGAGCCAAGCGGCGAACATGGCCAACAGCGAATAGTTTCCGCTCTGTTGCAGCTCCGTTGGTGGGTTGCTGGGTTGATGGGTGGTACTTCCTCCTGCCCGGCACCCAGAAACCCCCCCGGCATTTTCTAATTTTATTACGCGACCACATCAGCGAACCCTCTCCCTTATACTAAAGTGGAAATAATTTTATATAAGCAAGCAGAGTACAGGCAACCGGTTTCTGTTTGTTTCCACACGAAGGTTATTTGATATCATATGAGGCTGTCAGCTCGGTTCCGAATCTGATTCTCAGCCGGGAGGAGATTCTGGGCCTGCCATTGACGTGTGCAACCTGACAGCAAAAAAAAAAAAACAAATTAACAAAACCAGAAGTCTGCTCTTTCCTGGGCATATTAATTACACTTTGCTTATTTGATTTCTAAGATTGCTTTGAATGAAAGCTGCAGCAGCATGCTGATGAGCTCTGTTGATTTTCCATTTCCCCATTTAATGTTGTCATGTGTTAGATAAGACATCTGATGGTTGAAAGCTTTCAAGTAGAATATAATTATTCACAATTGTTTAGATATACCCAACCAAGAGCTTAACACTTTCGCTTAAATTGGTTTTAGATATGTTATCAGCAATTGTTGCTTTTAATTAACCATATATAGCCTTTATGTTCTTATCTTATATTTATGAGCATTTTGTAGTTGCTTACTACTAGCAAACTTAAAGTTTACTTTAGTCAAGATCGCACTTGCCTCTATAACTAATATTTGTGTGATCAGGTGAGACCGACACGCACTTTGGTCATACTTACACAATACTGGCAGCCTGTCAACTGTTGGATGTTCCAAGGTTTATTTCAAGTATTATTGTGCTAGAAACTCCCTTTGATTATTAAGATCTAGTCATAAGGTATAAAGATCAGAAAAAAGTATAGTTGCCATTTAAATACTACAAAATTTTCCATTTGATTAACATAATATATAGAATTAGTGTAAATTTAGTTAGTTTCTTATTATAAAAACTTCTTCTCAAAATCAATAATATAAAAATGAAATTTCTAAACTAACCATAATAAATTAAATATTGCCATTAAAAAAAAAATTGGGTTAAAATAGTTTGAATACAGATAGCCATATAAAAACGATCTCTCAATATCAGTAATCTTTTCAGATGTACTTGATGATTATTATGATGAACATGCCATTTTATAATTAATCATAATAAATCAGAAATCTAAGGTCACCATGCGATGAACCCACGCAGTATATTACTCATTAGAAATAATGATCACTCAACACATTGGGTCAAGTTCATCGAAGATCGATTATCCATGAGCGAGCTTAAGTGTCAATTTTAACACATTGAAATTATGATCTCATCTAACTGTCAAAACTTTCTTCGGAAGGTTCTTTACTGAAAGGTTCTCCAATCTATTGCCTTGTCAACAGACTTGTTCAACATCTATGTCATAATCAAACCATCAAATATATGTGTTTATGGCCACCAGTTGATAACGGTTGATGGCTCAAAAAAAAAAAAAAATAAAAGAACAACTTTATTAAGCGGCAGGTAAACAACAAATGAAGCCAGAGGCGCCAGTGAAATTAACAAGAGACTTCGAGACCTCATGACACATCTTGTATTTTTACCGTTCGATTCTTCAGTGGTTTCCCCTCTCGACTTTGCGACTTTCCATATCGGCTAACAGTCGTTTTATTTTTGCACGCTGATAACTATATACTATGTATAATTAACGCTCTTGATATCTGGAAATCGGCCGACGGTTATTGTAGTGACGCCATTTTTCATAGAACGATATAGTAGTTCTACTTTTAATTCCATTTCTTTTTTTTGCCTTTGTTTTAACTTTATAAAGCCAGTTCATCGCTTCCCATTGTTAGTTATGTGTGCGAACATTTTACCTTCTTTCTTTTTGTGTGTTTCCATATCTTTTTTATTATTTAAGCTTGCTTTTCATTATGTTCTTTTTTTTCTTTTTTGTGGCTTTTTGTCTCAAGTGTGTGCAGAAATGTTGCGTCAATTGCCGAGTTTTTCTTCATTATGCCAAAGATGAGGGATTTCTTTTAGGTAGAGGGTCCATTGAACCCACGTTTTGGGTTTTCTTTGCCTGCTCTTAATTTTGTATGCTAATGTTTGTCGGAGTATTTAGTGGGGAGCTCTTAATAAGCCCTAAAGCATTTCACAGCTTTTATTGTTTTCCATGTGCAATTGCAGCAGCCAATTTAACGCTTATTTAACTCCAGCTCACTTTTCTCTTTGCCTTGGGTTTTCCTTTACACTTTTCCCGGAGATTCACAGGTCAATGCAAAATTGGAAAACCATTTTCATCGCGATTTGGAAATTCATTTTCGTTGCTCTTTTTCTTTCGCCGTTTGACTTCCGTGTAAATTTTTGCGTTGCGTTCGTTTCTGCAGCCTCATTGTCTCGCTTGAAATTATTTCTACACTTATTCCTCTTCGTATGCTGCCTTTTTATATCGCCTTTTTTCACATGTGTATTTAAATTTTTCGCTTGTTTTCTTCACTTAAAAGAGATCTCTTATGGTTTTTCCCTAGACAACACCTGAAGCAAAAAAGGGCATAACTTAAGTATTACACTGGGAAAAGTATAGCCAGGGAATTAATAATAACGAATACATATAAAGACTTTAAAAAATTTAACTTATTAAATAAATTAGCACATTGTAGTTAGAGAATTAAAATAAATGTAAAATTGTTAAAACGTAAGTAAAGTTACTAAAAAAAATAACACTTTTAAAATGAATTTAATCGAGAGTTTAAAAAACTGTAAAAAGATTTGATACCCTCAATAAACTGTTTGATGATTTTACTGTTAATTTTCCATAAATTGTAATTCGCTGAAAATAATTTCTGACAGTGTTCTCCAAATATTTTGCATATGGCAACCACATCATGCAAATTTATGTTTATGCTGCCTTAGATGTTGCATGTGCTGGGCCTCAGTTTTTTTTTTTTTTTTTGAATCCAAGTCGTGTTGCCTTCACACCCTTCTGCCCCTGGCCCCGCCCCCCTAATGCCCCACGCCCCTGGGGATGCTGTTTGCCAATCATTGGAAATGGAATTGCAATCATCTTGCGCAACAACTATAACAACAACAGCATTATCATCTGCAGCGGCAACAAACAACTCCATTTGGTTGCAATTCATTTTGCATTCCATTTTGCAAAAATGTTTACCACATACGGTGGATGTGCCACGCCTCCCTTGACGCCTCTCATGGCAACTTAACTGTAACATTTTATTAACACTTGAGGCGCCGAAGAAAATAAAATGAGCAGCGTTCAATGTGCAATATCTCCTCGATCTTCCAGCTTCATTTTTGAGCTCAGTTTGTGTTCAGCATTTAGTTTTAGCAACTTGGAATACAATTTCATGTGCCGCCTCTTTTGAGGCGCTTTTTAGATTGCTTTTTTGCCATCAGCTATCTCCTCCTGAAAACCCCCAATGAAATTACTCCCTCTCATAAACTATTTGCCTTGTGGGCGTATTTGGTTGTGGCTGGTGAATTTGTATTTTAATTACGCTATCCAGACGAGTTAATGAGAGAAAATGGTAATTTAAAGTGCACAAGAAATATCTACAATATTCCGCATTTCAAATGTGTCGAAAGCTAAATCTATTTATAAAAAAAACAGTCGAAATATTTATATTGTTATAAATTATAATATAAGTCAGTAATTGGTCTGTGTTTATAATTAACGGCTATAATAAAATTTTTTATGTACTCCCCAAGTGCAAGTAATGCATTTAATAAATATAATTAAATATTATAAACAAATATGAATACTGGTTAATTTGCAGGTAATTTCCCTGAGCTCTCCAAGTTCATAAAGTAATAGGGAAATTTATTCTCTAACAAACAAATTCACAATTTAAAATACTTATTGCCCACAATCAGTCGGTTGTATAGCAGGATTTATGAGATTTGTTATTACTCAGCACTGATTTTATAATGCCTAAAAGGAAAACAAATCATCAAGGAGACTTTTGAAGCGTAAAGAGTCAGCAGTTGCTGTCCTGCTGTTTCTTCAGATCGTTTTTGGCAAATAAGGAAAATAGTTGTTAAAACTTTCCACATGACTAAATTTAGCTTTTGGGTTCATCGATTGCCTTTATCGTGTCATCAAAAAGCGGCGAAATAAATTAAAACTTGCAAGCTGTTGACACAGAAATTCATTGAACTCGTTTCGCACTCGCACTCGCAAAAAAGTCAAAGGCCTCAAAATGAATTTAACCAAAGTTTGCAATATTTTTCACGATGCTTGGTTTTTGGTTTTCTTTTTGGTGAGCTACCTCCTCCTCCTCTCATTTGCTAAATGATCCATGAAATGTTGGGATAAATTGCAGACTCAGCTGAAAATTTTGGCCAAACCCAATTTCGTAGATGAGGCAAATGCAAACAAATGTGCCATGCCCTTGAACATTATTGATTCTCTTTTCATGAACGAATTTTATGATTTAATTCCAAGAAATGACTGCAATAAATTTCATTTGGTTAAGCATGGTGAAAATAATTTGAAGATATGTCAATTTTTTAAGGAATCATCAGATTTGTAATGTCTTTAGCCGAAATCCAGCTTATTAAGTATTCATTCAATTCCCTAAAAAGTGTCTAAACATTTCTCATAAATCAAAATTAAACATTCATTAGTTAGTTCATTAGTATTAAGTTAAATCCCGCTTGTATCTCATCAAATCAGATAAGAGTTATTCGCAGTCACATGCCCAACCTCTTTAGCTTTTCAGCTGATCATTTTGGCAAAGTTCAACTGCCTTTCGTTTTAAGACGACCCACTAAAAACAAAAGAACAGGAAACTGAGGGAAAAACATGTATAGAAATCTGTTGAAAAGTATGGAATTTTAGATGCCCTATGTTTAAAATAAATAAAAATCACATAACTAACAAACTTTATATCTTAATAATAGTAACACGATTTTGCTATAATTTCGTGACTTTGTTATAAATTTTTTTTAAGTTCAGATTCTTACTATATATACACCATTTTTGCTTTATTGTTTTCTTGTTTTTTTTTTTATCTCAATAAGTGTGTAATATTGTTTAAAATTGTGAAGCTTATGTTATAAAAGATCCACTATTCTTTTTTTTATTTTATTTTATATTTTAATAACAGTACTTGCAAAAG